TTGCAGGCCCAGCAGAGCCTGCGGGCCCTTGCAGAGCCATCTCTGCTCTTATCTCTGTGGAGTAGGTGTGCATCGACCATCGGTGTCAGTCCGTGGATCTCCTGGGAGCACAGGAATGTCGAAGCAAATGCCATGGCCATGGGGTGAGCTGGCGTGGAGGAGATGGAAGGGGGAAGGGAGCCTGCTGAGGGAAAAGGGCTATGGAAGCAGACATCCTCAGTCTTTGCCACTTCCTGGGAGCATGCCGTTAACCTTCCTGGAGTGTTTCCTCATTGCAGTGGACGTAACAATGGCACCCATATCCTGGAGGGCACGAAATGGGTAGGAAAGCTGCTAACTAGTGAACATCATACTAAAGGTCATTTCCCCTGCAGGCAAAGACTTCCTCCCTCCAGGACTGTCTGTCTACCCACTAGCCACAGCATTCCTGTCAGTTTGAGAAGCCTGAGCCCTTGTGAAGCTAGATAAAGGCTGCTGGGGCTGGCACATGCCTTTAGTCCCAGCTCTTGGGAGGCAGGGCAGGTGGAGCCCTAAATTTGAGGCTAGCCTGGTCTACAGAGCAAGTTCTAGGACAGCCAGGGATAGAGAAATCCTGTCTTGAAAAAACAAAACAAAACAAAATGATGGAAAGTCAGAAATAGGGCAATGGTCCCATCTTCCAGATGCCTTCATTGCTTGCTTTGAACCTCTAGGTCTGTGACAGCAGCAGGAACTGCCACTGTGAGGAGGGCTGGGCACCTCCTGACTGCTTGGCTCCGCTCAAAGGTAGCTAGGAGACGGGCCCAAGGCGGGGAGGGCAAAATGGCTCCAACAGTTACCTTTCTCTTTAGTCCTCTTCCTGACCCCTTCACTTCCAGCTCCTTGGCTCTTGGCCCCTGGAAGCCGCCTTTGTCTCTGAGCACTTCATCTACTGCCCGTCCCTGCTCCTCTCTAGGTAGGGAACTCTTAGCCATTCTCAGCCTGTGTCTACCTCTTTCCACAGCCACCAGCTCCCTGACCACGGGCCTGCTCCTCAGCCTCCTGTTGTTGTTGGTCCTGGTCCTCCTTGGTGCCAGCTACTGGCACCGTGCCCGCCTGCACCAGCGACTCTGCCAGCTCAAGGGATCCGGCTGCCAATATAGGTATTAACATCCTTTTCCTGCTGTTACTTCCTTTGGTTAAGGGCAGTTCTGAAGCCTCTGCTTCTAATGGCCCAAGCCATGCAGTCCTTATCCCTACTTCTAAATCCCAAACTCCCAGCCCCTGGATTTCCTGACCACTATTCCTATACACGTACCTACCATCTCCACATGTATCCCTTAGCCTCTCTCATAGGTCATAGGTAGACCTCCAGGTACTGGGGCCACCTCATTCCAGACCCCAAAGTAGGGGAAAGGTGGTCTTCTTTCAGGCTGTTTAACCACAGCCCTGGCCTAAACCACACAAAGCTACCCTCCAAGGGCTAACAGGTTAACTTCTCCCTGATCAGCAGGTGGGAGGCCAGTCCCATTCTCTCTTTGGTTTTCTTTATACTTAGGGCAGCCCAGCCAAATCCTCCCGAAAGGCCAGGACCTCCACAGAGGGCACAACAGATGCCAGGCACTAAGGTAAGCCCTGGATGGCAGAGCAAAGAGCCCACATTACTTGGTACCTAATTTGGGCCTAGAGGTGTCACTAAAGGTTCAAGACTCAAAAAAGCTTCGGAGTGCTCAGTCAGTCCAAGGAGCAGGCAGTGAAGCAGCAAGAGCGGCCAGGCCAGTCCCCCAGGAGGCTCTGCTGAGCTCTTTCAGCTGGCCAGATTGGTACCTTGAGAGGTGGTTCTGCCCACACCCATCGGCGGCCAGTGCCATGGGATAATGGGGTCGTGTGCAAGAGGACCTTCAGTGTGCTGAGATCTGACAAGGCCCAGACATCATGTGCAAAGGGTGCCAAGTGCCCAGGGCGAGAACCTGAGCCCTCTCATGGCAGAGGGTGTGCATGAAGTCAGAGTATGTCACCCCTGCATGTAGCTGAGGCTCTGCTGCCCTCATCTCGACACTAACCCCTTTCTGCTCACATCTGTCTGTCTCCTCCTGCCCACTCTGCCTGTCTGCTCCTCTCGTCATCTCAGCAAGCTAGTGCAATCATCTTTCCGGTGCCCCCCTCCAGGCCGCTGCCACCTAACCCTGTGCCCAAGAAACTCCAGGTAAATCTGGGCTGGGCCTTGCCCTGGCTCGGGACACATGGGAGGCGAGGTGCCCAATCCCAGTTCTCATCCCTGCTTCCCCCCAGCGGTGTTCTTCATTAAGAGACCAGGGTGCCCCCTCAGCCTTCAAAGCCCCAGAAGCAGCCAAGGGTGAGCCTCCTGACATGGTCTCTGCTACCACCTGGTGGTCAATATTGGGACTACAGCCATCCAGGGACTATGATTGATCCACTCCTTCCTTCCCCAGGCTCCTGTCTATTGGCAAGCACCCAAGGCCCCCTGCGCATGCTCCCATGTTCCATTGAGCCCCTGGCTGACTTTGCATGTTGACCCTGGGGAGTCTCTGCACGCTCACCCCCTCGGACTGTGCTTTCAAAGCCACCACTCCTCTCTTTGTTCAGGCTGCGCTGGCTGACCGACCCAATCCTCCCACTCGCCCTCTGCCCGCCGACCCTGTGGTGAGGCACCCAAAGGTAACAGTGAGTGGAAAGCAGAAAGCATTGCCTCTCCTGCCTAGAGCTATGGTGGCAATGGCAAGATGGCTTCCTCTATGCCTGAGGGCATGTACCCCAATAGCACCTTTGGTAGTGACAGGTTTGTTTGGAGACGAAGGTGCCCATTAGCACTGCTCCTAGAACCCTCCATGGAGGGTGGAAATCATGACGAACTGGTCTTCTCTCTCAGTCTCAGGGGCCCACTAAACCCCCACCCCCAAGAAAGCCACTGCCCGCCAACCCGCAGGGCCGGCACCCATCAGGTGACCCGCCGGGCCCAGGGGACGGAAGCATGCAGTTGGTGGTGCCCTCCAGGTAGGTGAGGAGCGTGCTGCGGGAGACCCGTGTCTTACTACCAGTGAGACATCTGAGCAAGAGTTCTGACTTTTCCAAATGTTTTCCTTGGCTTTCTAAACTCCAGGCCAGCTCCGCCACCCCCGACACTACCCTCACTCTACCTCTGACCTCTCTTGAGGGTTGGCTGCCTCTCACCCAGATTTAAGACTTACAGTGAAATCTCTGCCAGACCGTCCCCTTCCAAATGCCTAGAGGGGCAGGAGCAGAGAGGACGCAGGAACCACCCACCATCGGGCGCTGTTAACCTTGGGACCCACCAAAATAGCTGCACCTGGCTGTTCGGGAGGGGCCGTGGCTGGAAAAGGCGGCGGAGGGACGCGCACACATCTGTCTCTGCTCCTTTGTAATAAATGTGAGATCTTGGAAAGTGGCTCCTGGAAGCTGGGTAGTGGCTGCTGTGTTTCCAGGTCTGACCACTAGGAGACGCCGCTGGGTCAGACCAGGGCCTGTTGGGGAGGATGACATCCCAGAAAGGGTCAACTAGAATTGTCACTGGGGATGCCTGTAGCTTGTTTCTGCCCAGTCTGGGGTGGATGGCCTCTAGTTTCCAAGTTCTTCCTGCTGGTGCTGTTCAGCCCCCACCGCAGCTATAGACAAATGACCTAAGTCGTCAGACCTGCATCCCCACCCTCCGACCAGGGCTGGGAAAATGAATCTAACTGGTGTTCTCAGAGCCCTGAGCCTGGGCGGAGCAGGGCAGCAGCTGCTTGAATTCCAAGGCTTCACACCTGCCTCCTCCACCTCCCTACCCCCACCCGAAGGTTCTAGAACAAAGGTGCTTTGTGTTTTGTACAGATGGCTTCTACTCATCACTGGGTCCTCAGGTCTGAGGCCTCCTGGAAGAGGGAAGGTGTGTGGGGATAAGAAGCGGGCTCTGCCCCAAAGTGGTCACCCAGTGTGACACCTAAGGCTCTATAGCAGTGGGCATGTCCCCAGAGGTACTTCCTGCCTTCCCCATGCACCGTCCTCTAGATGCACAGAGAAAACAGCAATTCGTGGAAGGTACCTCTTCAGTCTCCAAAAGATCTGGGCTTTCAGGTGCTGGTCATCGTGTGCTTGGCGAGTGCGGGGGGGGGGGGGGGGGGGCGGCTGCACACACGACTATCTTGTGTAGTTGGAGCTGACCGAATTCTGGATTCTTCGAAACATTCTCCCACTGCAGAGACTGTGGGTGTCACTGCATATGCATTCCAGCTCTGGCCTCCAAGCTTTCTACCTTGAACTAATGCAAACACAAGACAAAACCCACCCCTCTTAGGCGGTAGGTGCGTGAGTGCATGGTTGTAATTCCGGCACTGGGGAGGATGGGGCAGGAGGATGGCCAGTTTGAGGCCAGCCCCGGTTCCCCGGTTACAATATAAGTTAAAGGTTAGCCAGGCTTTAGGGTTAAGACCCTGTTTCAAATAAAACAAAGCACAATATGGGACTGGAAAGAGGCCACAGCCTTGGACAAGTGCTTCCTTGAGTTCGGATCCCCAGCCCGCAGGTAAAAAGCCCCAGGTGAAGTGGTTTGCTTCCGTTCCCAGCCGCGTGTGGGAGGGGTGGGGTGGAGCAAGGAAACAGGAGGATTCCTCCCCCTCCCCAACCCAGCCCCAAGCTGCAAGCCTAGCCAATCAGTGAGCTCCGGGATTCAGCGAGAGACCCTGTCGCAAAAAATAAGGTGGAGAGGGATAGAAGTGAGACCTCCGCCCCATGACAACTCGTACGAGCACGTACACATACATACAAACCTAACCAAAAACCTCAAAACAAAAACTGCTTAGTGGAATAGGTCCCCTCTGCCACCCTCTCTCAGCGCAGTGAGATACAAAAGGAAGCTTTGGCTAACCTGGAGCGCACAAGAACGCACAAAGGGTTAACACGAGTTGGCACTGGGTGGAGAGGCGGAGACGAGTTTTCATTGGTGGAAAGTTATCCAGGGATGTGGTCTAAGAGTCTCCACACCCCACCTCCTTTCCGTACCCCCCCCCCCCCCCCCCCGACTTTTGTACCTAGTCTCGCCGGGACAGAGAAGCGGGCCGGGACCAGCCGGGCCAGATCAGACTGGACCCCAGGGGCGATGCGGCTGCTGCCCCTGCTGCGGACTGTCCTCTGGGCCGCGCTGCTCGGCTCGCGCCTGCGGGGGTGCTCCAGCCTCCGCCACCCTGTCTACTGGAACTCCTCTAACCCCAGGTAGCCCGACTGAACGAGGCGAGCGCCTAGCTGGGCCCGCGCGCTCCCAAGCTGTGCGCGCGCCCGCCGCTCGCCTTTTGCAAGGCGCTGTCTGAGCCCTGCCCAGCCGCGCGCCGGGGCTCCTTTGTTTGAGCCGGCGGGGGAGGGGCGAGGCGTGCCCGGGGTCCCCCCGCCCGAACGTATTGGGGGACGGGCGGAGGACCCTAGTTCTGAGGGTGGTCGGAAACCGGGAGCTGGGGGACCTGGGCCCGTATTTCGGGCCCCGCCCCCCTTTTCTAGTGAGCCCCAACCTCCGGCCGGCAGCAGCTGGGGCGGACCGCTGAGAACCCGGGAGGGGTCTTCTCCCTAGTGAAAGAACGTGAGTTCTTCTCTAGTTTTCAGGTCCCCTCGGCTCCTGATTTTGTTTGATATCTCTGCTTCCATCTTGATTTTATTTCTGCCCAATCCTGGCCCTGCCCTTCCAGCTGATTCACCTGTGGGCCAGTCATTTGACCTTGCTAACCTCAGTTATGTCATCTACAAAATGGGCTAATAATACCTAGTGCCCTGGGAAGCGAGCGGACTGACTGAGGTCAGGCTTGTGAAAAGAAGTGCAGCTGTACAGATTTAGATGCGTGTTTCTTCCTCTCTGCTGAGCTGGCTGCCTTTGAACCTCAGGATTTTTTGCTGTTTGTATCCTGCCTCCCGTTTCTCTCTGCCTCTCTGCCTTCCCCATCTGTTTTCCGATTTTCTGCTTCAGACAATCTGTGGCTCTGTTCATCTATTCACTAATGTTTGATAAGCACACACTGTTTCAAGACTAGTGCTGGTCTGCTGGGCATTGCCAGTGTGAGAGGCGGAGACACTGCCCCCTGGGAGGCTCCAGACCCCCAGGGCAGGCCAAGATAGTCATTCTGATACCAGGACTGGGTGATAAGCGCTGTTGTCCTGGACTCGCCGGCTGCTTCTGTCTCAGCTCCAGACCAGCGCCATCCCCAGCTCTTGAGTTTCTAGTTCATTCACCAAATCCACAAGTATTTATTGGGCACTGGCTTTGTAGGGGAACCTTTCCACACCCAGTGTAATGAAACACAAAGACGCTAGCTTCTCTTAGCTTGCCTTCTAGTGGTCTGAGCTAAGCCAGGAATCCATCTAATCAAGCGTTCCTACAGCAGGGGTCCCTGGCTACTCAGTGCAGAAGGTCTGGATGCCTTTTCTAGACATGCTTTACTGTGCACATGGTGTTGGAGGCAGGACTCATTCAGTATTCGGTGCTTGGGGGTGGCCTGTCCCAGCCCTTCTCTCCTGTGAGCAATTCGGTTGTGTGTGTATGGGGTCCTTTTATACCTAGCCTTGTCTGGTCAAAAGGAAGTTGGACTGTGTGTGGTGGCACATGCCTGTAATCCTAGTTTTCTGAAGGGTGATGTGGAGGGGGGAGGGGGATGTCGCAGCCTTGGGAGCTCCAACTCCAGAGCAGCCATCACCACCTCTGGCCCCCTCCAGCACCTGTGCTCACGCACATGTACCATACACATAGAATAACTAAATAGTATAAATTACAGAAAGACTGAGATGGGGCAGGAGGAGCATTGAGTCAGGCCAGCTTGGCTACACAAGATTCTCCCTAAAGAGAAAAGGAGAGCCCGCTCATTCATTCTCTTTTTACCATGCCTGTTTCTCCCTAAGAGCTCCAAGTTCACTTCTCTAACTCTTCTGTGGGCGTGTATCTGCTCCACTGCCTCGGCCTCAGTGCCTGCCAGCATTCGTCCTCTTAGCGTTTATCACGCACAGATGGTAAGCCAGGCCCCATGTGGGGCAGCGGGCTACAGGGAAGGTGCCCTGAATGATGGGTAGGATGATGGGGTAGGATGGATGATGGGGTAGGAGATGGATGATGGGGTAGGATGGATGATGGGGTAGGAGATGGGGTAGGATGATGGATGATGGGGTAGGATGATGGATGATGGGGTAGGATGATGGATGATGGGGTAGGAGATGGATGATGGGGTAGGATGGATGATGGGGTAGGATGATGGGGTAGGATGGATGATGGGGTAGGAGATGGGGTAGGATGATGGATGATGGGGTAGAAGATGGATGATGGGGTAGGATGGATGATGGGGTAGGAGATGGATGATGGGGTAGGATGGATGATGGGATAGGATGATGGGGTAGGAGATGGATGATGGGGTAGGAGATGGATGATGGGGTAGGATGGATGATGGGGTAGGATGATGGGGTAGGATGATGGATGATGGGGTAGGATGGATGATGGGGTAGGATGATGGGGTAGGATGGATGATGGGGTAGGATGGATTATGGGGTAGGATGATGGATGATGGGGTAGGATGGATGATGGGGTAGGAGATGGATGATGGGGTAGGATGGATGATGGGGTAGGATGGTGGGGTAGGATGATGGATGATGGGGTAGGATGGATGATGGGGTAGGAGATGGATGATGGGGTAGGATGGATGATGGGGTAGGATGGATGATGGGGTAGGATGATGGATGATGGGGTAGGATGATGGGGTAGGGGTAGGATGATGGATGATGGGGTAGGATGGATGATGGGGTAGGATGGATGATGGGGTAGGATAATGGATGATGGGGTAGGGGATGGATGATGGGGTAGGATGAATGATGGGGTAGGATGATGGATGATGGGGTAGGATGGATGATGGAGTAGGATGGCTGATGGGGTAGCATGACGGCCTCCTCGCTAATAAAGAAGCCTTATGGGCTGGGCACTATAGCCCCTTAACCTCTCTAAAACTGACTTGATTGTCACATTATTACCTATACACTGTCTCTCAGGGAGGTATTCAGTCTAGGAGTTGACACAGGCCTATAATCTCAGCTACTCAGAAGACTAGGGAAGGAGGCTCATAGGTTCAAGGCCTGCCTAAACTATAGTGAGTGCAAGGCCAGCCTGGGCAACTTACTAACAGGAAAAGGTAAAAGGCTGGTCATAGTCAGAAGTAGTCACTTAGCATGCGGGCCTTGGAAACGCACCCTTTCTGAGCTATTCCATGACTAGTTGGTGAGAGAGGCCAACTCAGACCCCACGGTCCGACTGGGCCGCACACTCCCATCAGCCCACACTCCCTTGTGCCCACAGGCTGCTTCGCGGAGATGCTGTGGTGGAGCTGGGCCTCAACGATTACCTAGACATCTTCTGCCCGCATTATGAAAGCCCAGGGCCCCCGGAGGGCCCCGAAACCTTTACTTTATACATGGTGGACTGGTCAGGCTACGAGGCCTGCAAGGCAGAGGGGGCAAGCGCCTTCCAGCGCTGGAAGTGCTCGCTGCCTTTTGCCCCTTTCGGCCCCGTTCGATTCTCAGAAAAGATCCAGCGTTTCACACCCTTCTCCCTGGGCTTCGAGTTCTTGCCTGGAGAGACATACTACTACATCTGTGAGTGAGCAGCTCGGCTCGGCTCAGCTCCGCATGGCATGCCTGGGGGAGGGAAAGGAGAGGAGGAAGGGGGCTGTGGCTCCTAAGGCTTAGGGGCTGGGTTGTGCTGAGAAGAGACTGTGGAAGACTAGGGAGTTGCCGAGAGTCATGGAGGAGCTGGTACTTGGGGAAGATAAGCCAAGAAGGCCTGAAATAGTCTGATTCCAGGGGATGGTTTTCTGTGCTGACTTCTTCCTCCCAATTTCCCATCAGCGGTGCCAACCCCGGAGAGTTCTGGCCGGTGCTTGAGACTGCAGGTGTCTGTGTGCTGCAAGGGGAGCGGTAAGTGGGCCAGGGTCTGGGGCCCTTTGGGGGTCAAGAAAAAGGGGGGGATAGGAACATCAGACCTCAGGGGTCCAGGCTAAGCGTCAAGCTCCAGCCTCTGTTCCCATAGTCACCCCTGCGGCAGCTTCCACCACACCTTCTTTAAAACTGGGCATAGAGAATGGGGTTCCCAAGGGGCAGGGCCTTCCAAGTCTTACTTGGACTTGAGGACTATTGACTAGGAAGGTTTGGAAGTGGGGTTTGGGAAGGATGAGAGCGGTCGTGGGAAGGCAGTGGCTGTTTTGGGAGACCCTAGAGCCTGAAAACAGACTGAGAAGACCAGGGAGGAGGCTGCTGAGGAAGCAGGAAGACGCAGCAGGTTCTACCTCTTCACCCTCACAGGATCCGAGTCAGCCCATCCTGTTGGGAGCCCTGGAGAAAGTGGCACATCTGGGTGGCGCGGAGAGCATGCCCCCAGCCCCCTGTCTCTCTTGCTGCTGCTGCTGCTCCCAATACTTCGTCTCCTGCGAGTTCTGTGAGCCAAGTGTATCTTCCCTGTCACCCCAAGGAACCAGAGCCCTTCCCAAGATCCTCTGCTGAAGGGGTTTTTGCCACCATACCGGTGATGCCGTGCCAGGCAGACACGATGAAGCTTTGATGTGCAAAGTCAGAGGATCTGAGGTGACCCTTGTAGGTGACTGCCCCTCACCACAGGCTGAAGAGGAACTACAAGGGAGCTGCAGACTGTCCAGGGCCCCCTGGAGCATCGCTGCTTTGATGGTCTTGTCTCTTCCCCCAGAAGACTGGGATTTGGTGAGATCAAATCCTTGAGCCACTGGGGACCGAAGCCAAAGACCTGTGAACAGGTGGGTTCCTGGGCCAAGAGCGAGGGAGAAGCCATGCCATCTGTCCCCTCTAGGTGTCTTCCCAGGGGCAACTGTTGCCCTCCCAGGGGCCATTTATTTGTCTTCTGTGAAGACGGACTTGCCATGAGGTTGAATTTCATGCTGGTTTGTATTTTTTATAAGTGTTTGGACCAAACCTTCAATAAATCACCCATTCTCATGGGGCATGGTGGCTCACACCTGTAATCCCAGCACTGGGGGGTGGGAGTGGGGTGGGGGTGGTAAGCAGGAAGTCAGTCTGGGTATGGGAGACCCTGTCTCAAAAAAAAAAAAAAATGGAGGCCAGTGAGAAGATTCAGCAGGTTAAAGTTTTTGCTTGCTGTAAAGCCTTGACCACCTGAGTTCAGTCCCTGGAACCCACCCACATGGTGGAAAGAGAAGAGACTTTTGAAAGTTGTCCTTTGGACATGCCACATGAGAATACACACACACACACACACACACACACACACACACACAAATAAACTTACGTTAAAAACCACCCATCTTTGTCTTACTCTCCCTTCTGACTTCTTCCCTGACACCTGAACTCCCTGGGGCCTCAGCTCTTAGCTCGACTTGGCCTGACCCCCATGCCAGCTGTGTCCAGGCCATCCATGCCAGACATCAGTGGGCACCCTTCTGGGCAGTTTGGGATAGGTGCCAGCAGGAGCTGTGGAGCTTGGCACCCTCTCGCACCTCCTCAGCCATCTTCCCGTGCTAGGTGGCAGATGCTGCTGACATCCACTCTGGCAAGGCCTACTCCGGGTGCTGGGGTAAAACCCAGGGGAAACAGAAAAGCACCTGGGTTTCAGAATGCCGGCGTCAAAGCGAGACTTGCCGCCCTCCCCCTCCCCAAGGGCACTCTGGGCGGTGCCTGGCCTAGAACTGGGAAGGTGGGGTCAGATCAAAGCCTTCTTCCCCAGCGGCCTCTTTGTTCTGAGCTTTTATTAGGAGAAGGAGGTGGGGCTCTCAGGAGAGAGGGCTCCTTCGTCCTTAGTGATACTGTCTCATCCTCTCAGATAAGACGGACACCCCCTAACTCCGCTAGGGCCCTCTTTCTGAACTGTGCCCTAGGTGGGAGTAGGGGAGGGAGCACCCCTTCCCATGTACTCGCGCTCTGCCCTCCCGGGTGCCCGGCAGGCTCCCCTGGCTATGTGCCGGCCTGCCTGGCATGGAGCCAGCGATCGATAGGTGGATGTTGTGCTGATTAGCCCGACCCCGGCTGCGGCAACGAGAGGCTGCGTGTGAAGATTATGGGGCGGGGGTATGAGGGTCAGGCACCAAGATGCTGGAGTTGGTGAAGCCTCCCCCCACCCCACGTCTCCTTGCACACCTAAGTCAGACTGGTTTTTTTTTAAGGGAATGGGACCTATGTATCACACGACTCTGGTCCTCACAGTTCGCGGTAATTCTTTGGCTCTGGCTAAGGCCCAGGGTTAAGGAGAGTGGCGGCAGGCAGAGCGATTTTGAGTTAATAATCTCCTCATTCGAGGCCAGTTTCAGAAAATGTTGCTTTATCGGTGTTTGGGTTAGGCTCCTGACCCTAAACTTTGATCTTCAGCAATTAAAAAGATGTTTATGTGTCGAAGAAAAGGCGGACTGAGAACTGTGGGAGGAGCTGTGGGCTGAGTCTTTTGGTCCAGCGTTGGAGTTCATCGCTGCCATCTTCCTGGAGGGCGTCTATGTGTTGCCATGGAAACCAAAGATACAGTTACCTCCGTCCCTCGTCAGAGAAATTATAAGCAGGGCAAGCCCGGGGAGATTGTTAAGTGGCCCCTGCCCTGAATTCAGAAATACGGGTTCTTACCCAGCTCCCCCGAGATTACACACAGTAGGAGCTCTGGCTGGCAGCGCCAATCCCTTGTGCAAAAGGGACTGAGACCTCGTTGGTTTTTCTCAAGTTGAGACACATGGTCTCAGTTTCAGGCTGCACTTGACACAGACTTGTGCATTTGCAGGTGCAAGGGCGGATGCTGGGGAGGACACAGGAGCACCCTCAGGCTGTAGGCCTTCAGGCCAAACCATAACTCCCCTGCCCCTTCTTTTCTGTTCCCTTCCTCACAGCGTGGGCCCTGCACGTTTGGCAGTTGCCCGCCCAGGTACTTCCTGGTAGAAAGGTCTCATGGAACCTGCTCTTAGCACCAATATAGGCTGAAGGCTTTGGCGGCCCTCTCGTGCCTGGCCATACCCACGAGAAGTCTTCGCAGCGTGTGCAGGGGCACAGTTCCAAGAAGTTATGCAGGCCTGAAAGTTTGGGGCGTCACCGGTCTCCCCTAAATTCAGCGGCGCTGGACGGCTGAGAGTGGGGCCCTCAACTTACTAAACCAGCCCTAGTCTCAGCGGTACAGATGCGAAAACTTAATCTTTCTCTGTCTCCCAGGCTTGAGAGTCCTTTGCCTGGATTCTGCTCCACACTTACCACGTAACAAATTGCCCTTCAAATCCCGAAATGGCTTCTTCTTTTCCGTATTCACTTCCTCCTCTCATCCAGTCAGCACTCTGTGAGCTCCCCGCCATTCTTTTAGCTGGGGTCGTCGGGGGATCCCCCGCAGTGACGCAGTTGAAAAGTGAGCACTCTGGCTTCCGAATAGCCAATAGGATCCCTGAACTTGGGGCATGAGGTCATCAGTGGCGATCTGCATTGGTTCAGGCCTGGAAACGAAGGTCCCCATAGCAACCGACGGTGCGTCCAAGCGTAACCTTAAGAGTGGTCACTGCTCCAATTGCTGGGATCCATCTCCTGTAGCCGCTTTAAGAAGGTTTTGGGAACTGGGCTGAAGAAGCTGCAGAGGAGTTCAACGTCCCAGGTTCTGTAGCCTTCACCCAAGCAAGCTCTTGTCTTACTTAAAGTTATTCTTTTCACTCAAAGCAAAGGTCAGTGTCACTTAACCCAGAAAGTTTAGGTAGGGGTTATTTGCAACAGCCATGGTGCCTTGGGTGCAGAGCTACTGCCATGGGGAATGTCAATTCTGAGATCTGTTCATCTGCATATCGTCTGCATCTCATTTGCATTCTGCTCATTTAAGGTCAAATTGGGCAGACATCTCCACCTCCCTATCTCTGTCACTTGTCTGTATCCGCAATCTATCCCTTGGTGACTCCGTAGTCCTCCACTGTCCGATTCCACGGTCCCCACCCCTCCTCCCACTCTCCAAAGTCGCCTGGGGGTGGGAAGTGGCAAAGACTAGGGAAAGGAGAAAGAATAAGGCATGTGCCTCTCCTCGGTGTTGGCGACAGATGGGGAGTGCCGGTCGCTACTGCCTGGAGACTAAACTGGCAAAGCTAGCAGTAGGGGGAGGTGCCCCGGCTGGGGTGAAGGTCTCCAGGGCCAAATCACCCACACGGCCTGGTGAGATGCTGGAACCAGGATGTTGGGTTCCAGCAAGGAGCAGGCGTGCCCACCTGTCTGGTGTCAGGGCCGTCCCCCCCCCAGCAATTAAGCGCTAATGAACTGTCATTTAACCCTTACCTGACTACCAGCTGTCGGGCGTGTGGGACTGAAAATCATGGTCTCACACTGATAAAAGGGTGGAAAGGACGGCCTCCGAAGAGACAGAGACCAGGGCACTTGGACACAGGAAGGAGGGGCCTTGGACAGGGTGTCTCTCAAGGGATTCTGTGACTCTAGGATTCCTGTGGACTCTCCAGGGACTCTGGGAATAGCGGCACTGTCCAAATGCATTTTTTTCTCTCATGGATTTACAATTATTTATTAAACACCTCTGTGAACTAAATACCAGATGGCATTTGGGTGCTGAGTACACTTATTTGCATGAGACAAGAAACTTTCTCTTCAGAGACATGCCAGGCTGAGTTCGAGGCTAGCCTGGTCTACAGAGTGAGTTCTAGAACAGCTGGGGTTACAGAGACAAATCCTGTCTCAAAAAAACAAAAGAGAGGAATAAAGACAGAGAAAAGAAATCTTCAGAGACAGACCAGCCATTAAATAAGTATGATGCCAAGTGCAGCATTAATACAGAACTCCATACAAATGACTGGGAACCGGCCTGCTCCTCTAAACGTCCTGAGTTCAATTCCCAGCAGCCACATGGTGGCTCACAACCATCTGTAATGAGGTCTGGTGCCCTCTTCTGGCCTGCAAGCATGCATGTAGGCAGAATACTGTATACACATTAAATAAATAAATCTTTTTAAAAAAACTTACAAATGATTGGGAACACAGAGGAGAATGGTCTCTGAGAAAAGCTTTGGTTGAGAAGAACAAAATTTATGGCAGGGAGATGCTTATGTGCTTTCACACAGCAAAAGTCCACATGGAGATGTTCTTCAAGGACTGTTGGTACATGCCTTCGCAGCATGTTTTCATCTACGTGAATGTACGTGTGTGTGTGTGTGTGTGTGTGCATGTGCGTGTGTACGTGCATGTGTATGTGTGTGTGTGTGTGTGCATGTGCGTGCGTGTGTATAAGAGATCTGGATCTCTTGATCTCTGCTTCTGAACTTGTATTGTGGTTTTATTACAGACCAATGCTGCGAAGATGCTCTTGTGCAGATTGGCCTGAACCTGCACAGCCCAGGGGAGAGAAGTGGGGAACTCATGTTGGCTCCACGGGAAGAAGTGGGCAGACGTTGTCTTGGCACCAGAGCCAGAAACCTAGCTCCTGAAGCAGCAGCAGCCTGACCAACAGAGGCAAAGGACTGGGCTCCAGGTTTCAGGGTACACCGAGGCCTGGTGGGCCACTCTGTCTCCGACTTTCCCAAGGCACTGGGTGTTACAACCACCGCTCCCCACCAGGAGTTCAAGTCCCCTCCCCCACCAGTCCTTCTGTGTAAAAGAGCAGGCCAGCTCAGACCTGTCTGCTGCTGGCTCTCTCCCTGGGGAACTGATCTCCAGGGACAGGAGAGGCTGGGGAATGCTAAGGCTTGCAGAGAGGTTGCCAGGTACTCCACCCTGACTCAACAAGGTTCTCTGCAGCCCAGGCTCTCCCCACCCACTCTGGTCTTTGCCCAGGCATAGACTGCATTGCCAGGATGCCCTTGACTGTTGGGCCGAGAGTGAGGGCCCGAGCTCCGACTGTGAAGATGTCTGGGTAGTGGTACCCAGCTCAAAGACCTCTCCACACCATGGGATCTGAGAAGGTCAAGCGCTCCTTCTCCCACAGTTCGAGGACAGGGCATTTCTGATTTATTTCTTTATTTAGCCCCTTTGTAGCCTCGACTACCCTTGAGCTCACAGAGATCTGC